AAATAGAGAGCTTAAATTTACTATCAATTAATGAGGGATGGTCACAAACCAGAGAATATACTTTTCAAAAATTCTCACTAATCAGTTCAAGGAAGGGCACTCAGTTCAAACATCAAAGTGTATCTTATGATGTAAATAGAAAATACTACAGGTTAGCCGACAGGCTACCTTAAGGACAAGAAACACGTATCTGCACATTAAAGATTTACACCAAGATCAAAATACATTTTACAACCAAACTTTCTGTGCTATTAAGTTGTGCTACCAAGAGTCACTACAATTAACCTAGTTCAGACTGATTAAAAGGAAGGCTCCTATAATTCATGTTGTAATGCCTTCATTATGAGAGAGGGGAAAATAATTTGGAGTCCAAAAAGCTGTAGTAATAATAAAAGAGGAAAACTCTCCTTATTCTATATACACAATTTTAAGAATTTCAACATTCAGTACTTGGTAGAGAACTTGAAGGAATAATTTTTCTTTTTTTCTTTTTCTTTTTTTCTTTTTTTGAGATGGAGTCTCACTCTGTCACCCAGGCTGGGGTGCAATGGCGCAATCTTGGCTCACTGCAACCTCCACCTCCTGGGTTCAAGCAATTCTCCTGCCTCAGTGTATGGAGTAGCTGAGATTACAGGCGTGTGCCACCGCACCCAGCTAATTTTTGTATTTTTAGTAGAGACAGGGTTTCACCATCTTGGCCAAGCTGGTCTTGAACTCCTGACCTCATGATCCACCCACCTCGGCCTCCCAAAGGGCTAGCATTACAGGCATGAGCCACCGTGCCTGGCTTAGGAATAATTTTTCTAAGAGCCTAAAGGAACATGCTACTTCAGTGTCATTATTTTTCAGGAAATATGAAATAGTTTTTCTAACTCTTCAGTCTCAAATTGTTTTAAAAAATAATCTGATTAACATCTTGCGATATGGTCACAGGAAGAACTAAAGGGGCTGAAAAAACCATCAGTCACAAAGAAATGGGTCAAAAGACTAGAAATAATTATTAATTTTTAATGTCAATAATTTGCCAAATGACCATGTGCAAGGCACTGTGCAAAACAAATACACTGAATGTCTGGTGAAGAAAATTTTTAGGTAGAAATTAATCAGAACTAGGAAAGAGACATTTGGTTTAGTTCTATTATAGAAAACGGCACATGAAGAATTTCATTATAAGATCATCTTCCCTGTTTGTTTAGCCTACTCTTTCACAGTGTAACACTTCTGGTTTTTCTACTGGTGTCTTCTGATTGGAAGACAGGAGAAGCATCCTTCATAATGTTCACAGCAATGTTTCTCTAAGGCTCACATTTAGGAGGTTTTAGCGTTCAATCAAGCTGGTCTTCTGTAAATAATAGGCATCATTCATCCAGCTTATTTTTCTGATGCTACCATTACAGAATAAATCACTGACTATATCAAAGGTCTCCAGGTTGGCAGCTGGTGAAGTAGCTCAAGTTATTCATTAAGCATACTTCCCTCTCACGTGTTTACCAATCAGAACTCTCCTCCTCTAAAGCTTCCGTATCCAAGAAATCAAACAGAATGAAACTATTAAGTTCAAGAATTACAATGATATTGTTGTTAAAATACCTACTCTTCCAACAAATATGTGAATGGAGGAAAAACTTAAGCACTTAATCACTATTCACGTGTACTAAGTGGGAGTGGCTAGGGAGCAGACATATGGGAAGGGAGGGTCTTACCAGTTTCATAGTGTGCCTTCCCTATCCTATTCACCTATACAAATTACATTTATCATCAAGGCACAAAGGCCCAGCTCCTCCAAAGCACCAGCAGTGATTTCTTCCTTGCTAGAGCTTACCCAGGCTTTACAGTTCGGCAATTTCATCAGATATCATCTCATAATGTTATTTGATTTGTGTGCTTCTTGTGTGCCAGAAAGGGCTATAAAAATCTCAGGACAATATCCTGAGTCATAGTTGTAGGGTTATTTCCCCACAGTGCCTAGCACGATATCTTGCCCAGAAAGTTTTAAATAAATAACTTGTGAAATGAATAAGCTTAACAGCAAGTAGTCACAGTTGTTTTGTGCTTTCATGCAGCACAAAAGGGAAGAGGCAACCAAGATACATGAGTTAGGGACTTTTTGAAAAAGGCTTAGGCCAATAACGCACTATGTTCTATAAAATGTTTTGTGAATTTTCTTAAACTCACACCTGCCACACCTACTTTCATGTAGCAAATAATCTTCCAGTAAGAACACTCACTTATCTTTATTTCAGTAACTGAAAACTACTTTTCAACCTGGGTCCAAAAGTATCACCAGACTCCCTAGCATTATAAAGAGGAAGAAGCAGCCAAGATACTTATACAGTATTAGAAACTTTTTCTTGGTTTTTGTTTTGTTTTGTTTTTTAAGCTTTTTGCCAGTAAATGCACTGAGTTCCATAAAAGGTTCTGTGAATTATCTTAAAACTCACACATGTCAAAGGTACTGGGTCGTACTTAACATGTTACTGTTTGTGCCGTATTTTAAAATTCACAGCACAGGTATTTTAAGAACATCCTATGTTGGAACACTCTTGCACGTTTTGAATACAGAAGAGAATCAGCTCATGTCGAGACATGAGGTCTTATCTCTCATCTACATAAACGTAGAGCTTCAAGTGATATCCTATTTTTACATTTGTTAAACTTAAATCTTGTGTTAAAAAGGGAATTAAGCGTGGAGGCCGCCACAGGTATCAGCCTTGACCGTGTAAACTGGACCTTCGCTATCTTAAGTTCAGCACGGAGGGGAAAGCTAAGTGACCAGACATTTCTTCCACAATTCAAAGACCCGGAGCCTCTCAGAGTGTCCCCACCACGTGTGCGGACAGCAATTCTACCGAACCTGCGCAGCTACTTACAGGGTCACTTTAGTGGTGACTGTCGACCTGCCCGCACCGAAATGGTTCCTGGGCTTCCAGCCGTCGGCGTCAGAAGCTCCAGGGGCTCCGGCCGCTCTGCTCAGCTCTTTGCTTCGACCTCCCTCTGCCCGGCCGTCGAAGTGGTAGGGGAGCGGGCCCCTCTTGTGCTCGGGTTTGATCTCCGGCAGCAGCGAGCTGCTCTTGACCGGGAGCTCGCGGGGGACGGCCCCGGCCGCCTCCTCCCCCCTCTCGGCCGTAGCACCCTTGGTGACCGGGCTGGGATCGGGCGCCCTTTTGGGTGGGGATTCCTTGGCGGGAGTCCGCGGGCCGCTGGCTAGTGGGGTAGGCACTGCCTCGAGGGCGCGGCTCCTGCCCTTCCTCTTGGTGGGGGACGAGGTCGGGGGCGGCTGTTTGCTCCGGTCCGACTCCCCTCGGAGCTGCCCTTTGGGGCAGGGGCCAGGCTTGCACTCTGGGCTCGCAGCGGAGGCAACGCCCCCGTTGGGGGCTGCCAGCGGAGATTTCACTTTCTTTTCCGCCGAGGCGTAGTCGCTGGCCGCGTTTGGCGCCACCTCGTCGTCGAACACAGCGTCGTCCCTGGCAGTGCTTTCAGGGAGCTCGGCGTCCGCGCCGGGGGAGTCCGTGGATTTCTGCGACCTCCTCCGCCTCCCGGACCTGCGGCCGCTGGACCTCTTCTCCATGTCGTCCCAGTCGCCACAATCTTCCGCCCTGGGAGTAATCACGACCGGCTCGTCCACTTGAGCCCCCTCAGTCTTACTCAAGTAGATGTCCAAAGTTAGCACCTTAGCAGGGTGGGCGCGCCGCCCGGGCCGGGCTGTGCCGTCTGCCTGTGCGGAGCCGGCTGTGTGCGCTGCGCCCTCGGCCAGAGGCTCACCTGGTGGAGCAGACGTGCCCTCGGGGGGCTGGCTGCAGGCGTCTCGGGGCCCCAGGGAGCCTCCTTCGGCATACACACTGGGGGCGCCGTCAGGGGCCTCGCCTAGTCCTCCCGCGGGCCGCTCCCGGGTGGCTGACCCCGGCGCACCCCTCGCACCCGAGGAAGCCTCCTGTTCGTGGCCAGCACCTGGCGAAGCGTCCTCCCCCGGACTGCGAGCGGGAGTCTCTTCGTCTTCTTGCCTGGAGGAATTCCCTGGCGAGGAATGCAGCTGCTTGGCATCTGGGAAAGGCTCTCCCTCTGCCTGCAGAGGTTCTAATTGGGGTGAATCACTTTCATGGCACTGCTGCACAGCCACAGCCGCTGCACTGCAGCTCCAGCGAGGTGACAGCTCGGCGTCAGGGGGGGCTGCGGGGCTACTGCTTTGGGGGAGCTCGCCCTCTGCCTCTCGGGGATTCTCCTGGGGGGAGCCCGCCTCGCTCGTGTCCATTTGCTTGGGTTGGCTGCTCTGAGATATGCTCCTCTCTCTCTCTCTTTCTGGGAGCTTAGAAGGGGCTACTACATCTTTGGGAGAGAGTGGTTTGGCATTTGACCTGGTGGGACTCTCTAGCCCGTTTCTACTGTTCCTTCTCTTTCCTGCCGCAAATAGGGTGCCAAGTTTTCCCAAAACTGGCTTCTTTCTGTTCTCTTCTGGAGGTTGTGCTCTGGACTGAAAAATAAAAGTGATGAAGAGAAAACATATGAGAATCTGGTGTATATTACAGAGCCACCAGCCAAAATAACAGGGTTTCTAATTGAAAATGTAAAGTTATGTTCATGTTACATTTATTCCATTCTGGTTTTACTTTTGAATTTTTCTTAAAACACCTTAAGTGTCTGGTACTGTTAGAATAGCATTTTCTTTGAATTATAATTCTCGTTTTTTAAAGGAAAATTCGAACGGTTCAAATAATCACATATACAAATAAATACTTCTGTGCTCTCCATAGCTTTTTTACCTTCTTCCTCAATAAATTTGCAATTACAAACAGCCATGCGTAACCAGGGCACAGCAGTAAACACACTAACGTATCCCAAGGCAGACTTTTTCCTGATACACCGCCCTTTCCTTTTGTAGGAGGAAAGGAGGACTGAAGAAAACCAGTCCTAGCAGCCTTCTCCTCGAGAACAGTAGGAAACCAGCCGGGCTCAACGTACAGTACTTGCAGCATGAAAACCTTAGGCAAGCTTGGAAGAAGTGAGCACCTGGGCCCCGCCTTAGCCCGAGCTCCAATGGGAGAAGCGCGCGAGTATTCAAACACCCGCGGGCGCCCACCCAAGCGGTGATGCCGGGTCTCCGGCCACACCTGAAATGCTCTTTTGGGAGTTCCTATGAGGTGTACGCGGAGGAGTGCATGGGGTTAGCGATTGAGGTTGCAGGGGCGACCATCTTTGCTCACCGCCCCCTCGAGCCGAGGAGGCTCGGCTGAAGGATGCGCTAGGGACTCTGCCCACTCGGTCCCAGGACCCCTCCCTCGCCACTCGCGTGGTTCCATGGACGCAAGGCTGGAGCCCCAGGGGCCGGCCCACCCACCTGACGGCGCTGGGGCCCGCCTGCGAACCAACCAACCAACCGCAGCGCTCCCAGGAAGGGGGAAAAACTGGGCTGCTTACATCGCCTGGAGAAAAACGGCTAGCACCCAGTGCCCGAGTCGGAAGACGGGAGGGAGAGCAGAACAAACCAATAAAAGCAAACCCCGCCAATGGGTGCGGCAGCGCACAGGGGTTCGCCAGAGTGGGGACTGGGTAGATGCGGGGCGTAGGGGTGGGCAGAAAGAGGAGGAGGCGAGTCTGGGAAACGGAGGGAGCAGGGGCGGCGAGCCCAGCCTGGCTCCTAGGAGAGGGAAGCGCATTCGCGTAAGGACTCTTCTAAAACCAGGCCAAACGTGAGTCTACTGTATCTTAAGAATCAATTCTTACATTCAAAACCCATGTGCTACCTTGGGTCCTGGCGACGCAGAAAAGAGCCCCACCTTTCCTGGAAGAGGAACATTCAGGCCAGTACCGACTACGACTACGGGGAGGTTCCCCAATCACCCTTTGAAGTAGCTCCATTGCATTTGAGTTACATGCAGCAAATTGAGTTTGGCGGTGGGAAATAGGAAAGATAACGCATGAAATTAACAGGTCAACAAGCATTTGTTGAGACAATCCTGGTACTGTAACATAGTGTCACCCCGCTACAGCCCAGTGAGGTCATGCTGTTACCACACAGATGAAGAAAGGAAGTTCAGCCAGCCCATAAAGACACAAAAAGGGGGTGGGGGCGGTCAGAGCAGGAAAGTCAGCATTCAAATCCAAGTCGCCTCCTGCCAACCCCATGCTCCTTCCATTCCGCCACCGGGGCCCCGTTTAGAGGCCACGGAAGCTCTACGGCCACCTGCCACCCAAGAACCAGAGTCGGCCCAGAGGAACAGACTGTGGGTCACACACCCCTATTCAGCGTCTGAGGAAGTGCGCATGAATCAGATCTGCTGACAAGGTTCTAAGATTCTCCTGGTCTTAGAAGCACCAGGTGGGCCCTTTGGGACTAGACAGCTGCTGCTGCTGCTCCGGCTGCGATGAACGAATGGCGCGGCCGTTCGGAGCTCTCTTACCTGAAGTCATACGATTCTAAAATCTAAGCAGATTTTGATTAATCTGATTCTTCAATTGCTAAAGAATATGGGAAGAATTCGAAGTGTGATTTAAGGGAAAAAAATTAAAATACTGTAACTTCCTAAGGAAACATTTGGATTATTTTACAAGTCAAAGGTATGACATGATTTTTAAATCATAATACCTGTTTACTGAGCCATTCTTATGCTCAGGCCCTTGTGATTCACACAGACTTTCATTTTATCTTCCCAACAGTTAGGTAGTCTTTTTTTTTTTTTTTTTTTTTTTTTTTTTTTTTTTTTTTTTTTTTTTTTTTTTTAATGACCATTTGCCAAGGTTACTTCTCCCTGTGCAAGGTCCCACCTGCAGAGTCTTTCTGACTCTGACATAGAGCTCTTTGTCTCTGCTGTCTGGAAAGGCCTTCAAACTATCTTGAAGAAGTAGCCAGGGAAAATAGGCTTGAGTCTTGGCTTAATTCCAGTCCCTGTCAAAATAAAACAACTAAGTATATGTATTACTCTGTCCTGCCAAAGATGTTGCAATCTGCTTTTCCCATGCAGTAAAGGCGCTTGATCAGCAGTCTTCTCTATGCTCACTATAGGCATTACAAATTTTTTTTTTTTTTTTTTTTTTTTTTTTTTTTTTTTTTTTTTTTTTTTTTTTTTTTTTTTTTTTTTTTTTTACAAAACTGTTTGCTTGCTCTTCAGCTTGGCTCAGTGACTTGACTCCTCCTCCCCTCAGAGGAGCAGCCTGTTTATCACCAGCCAGATTGCTGAATTTCCTAAAAATACACGAATGTTCATAGCGGCTTCGTTCACTCATAATAGCCAAAAACTGGAAACAGCTCAAAGTCACTGGAAACAGCTGGTGAACAGATAAACGATTTGTAATACATCTAGACAGCAGAGTATTACTCAGCAATAAAAAGGAACAGACTTCTGAAACGTGTAAGGATATGGATGCTAAATGCTTTTGAGAAACAGCCAGGCTGCAAAGGTTGCATACTGTATGGTTACATTTATATGACATTCTAGGCAGTGAAAATCTAATCTATAACGATAGAAAGTATATTGGTGGTTGCCTGAGGGTGGGGACAGGGGGTGGCAAGTGGTGGTGGTAAACTGGGAAGAGGCATAAGGGAACGTTGAGGGTTAAAGGAAATGTTCTATATCTTGATTGTAGTGACGGTTACACATGAGTATATATTGTTCAAAACTCATCAAACTGTACATTAAAAATGGGTATACATAAATGAAGTTAAGATATAATCTCTTTAAAAACAGTGATTTTCCCCCGGGAAATGAACAGAAATGCACTGTGTGGCACAGTCCATCTGTCTTGGGTGCACATTTCACAGGGTCTCGCCCTATTGTCCAGGCTGGAGTGCAGTGACATGATCACAGCTCACTGCAACCTCAACCTCCTGGGCTCAAGTGATTCTCACAACTCAGCCTCCCAAGTAGCTGAGACCACAGGCCTGTGCCACCATGCCCAGCTAATTTTTAAATTTTTTGTAGAGAGAGAGTTTCACCATGTTGTCCAGGCTGGTCTCAAACTCTTGGGCTCAAGTGATCCTTCTGTCAGCCTTCCAAAGTGCTGGGATTATAGATGTGGGCCACTGTGCCGAGCCACGTTATATAGTTCTCAATGAGGGGTCTCATGTCATTTCAGATGACAGACTCTCATTTACAGGGGAATGCACTCTTCTCCCATGGGATCAGGTCCCTGTGGATATCCAGGATCATATCTCCAAACAGGATGATCTGAGCAGGGCTCAGAATGTCCCATGGCCCCTGAGTAAAGTCCTCAGTCACGTCTTTGAGGAACACCCCTTCCTAAATGGGATACATATTCCTTTTCAACCAGGGATTGTTTCTTCCCATTGTTCATGGGGAAACTAAGGCAGATGGAGACCACCACCACCAAAACAAACCCAACAGCAACAACAACAAAAAACTAGCTGGTACCTCATTAGGTTTGAGCCTTTGGGTCTGGGGTCTTAAATCTAGGATGGGAAGCCACAGACCCACACCTTCTCCCTCAGGCTTGATGATAATCTGCTAGGAAGGGAAAGGTTTTGCAAAGAGGCCATGAGGAACCATCAAGCTTCTTGAAGCTTCCCTCCCCTATTCCTCTGCCCCTGACTTTCCCACAGGCCTGGGCAGGGTCCTGAGGCTTCCCAGGCTGGGTGTTCTCAGAGCACATGCAATCCTGGGTCCTCCTTTGTATTTGTCTTTTTACTGGGTACTTTCTGCCCACCTTACTTAAGGCAGACTGCACACCTCACATTTGTCACCCTCCCATCGCCCATGTCCAACTGGGATGAAGCGGTCCATAACAGGACTATTGTAGAGACAGCCCATAGGTCGTGTGCCAGGATCTGCTTTAGAGCGTTCTTGTTGGCTAATATGAAATGTGACACATTAGGGGCACATGTAACAATCCACAGGATCATATTCCAGCAGTGTGTAGAGGCCCAGATGGCACTAGCTGCAGTGCTGTTCTGTGATTCTCAACCTTCCTGGTATGGCAGGGCCTGCTATCAGCAGGTACCACTTAGTAAATGTTACCTTGTAACATTTGCTACACATTAGTTAAGGAGATAATGTAAATGTTAGATGTTAGAGTTTCTTGAACCCATTCTGATTCTGAAGCTGGCTGAATCATCAGTTTTTCTTTTATTCCTTGCTTAAATAAATTCTGCTAAATTTTACTATCCAAGGGTTTTTCCTTTTTATGGTAACTATGGGAACAAAACTAAATTTTTTAAAATTTTAATACAATTATGAGTCAGTGATATTTGTTTTATGTTTATAATCTATTTACATCTTTAAGAAATCTAGGCCAGGCGTGGTGGCTCACTTCTGTAATCCCAATACTCAGGGAGGCTGAGGCGGGCGGATCACCTGAGGTCAGGAGTTCGAAACCTGCCTGGCCAATGTGGTGAAACCCCGTCTCTACTAAAAATACAAAAATTAGCTGGGCATGGTGGCGTGCGCCTGTACTCCCAGCTACTTGGGAGGCTGAGGCAGGAGAATCTCTTGAACCCGAGAGGCAGAGGTTGCAGTGAGT